CTGCCCATCTGAACTTTAAAGACCGTCTTAGTGATTCGTTTGAGCATAAGATTGTCCGGTTCATCTGTGCTGCTTGTTTGCTTTCCACTTTCAGTTCTTTCTTGTTCTCTAATTATTTTCTGCTCCGGCGAAACGGATGTAAGGAGGCTTTGCATCGGTAGCGGGAATAAAAATGCTGCTTTCTGTATCACAGAGCAGATTTAATGTGATTTTCAGCTCTAATTAGAGTTAAGTCACTTAGTGTGTCGTAATGATGTTTGGCTCACGGAGCCAGTGGTAGCCGTCCATCAGCCAAATGAAATATTAAACTGACCTACCGCTGTAGTGTGTTTGTGCGGGTTTATATTGGGAGACGTGTCGGGGGGATTCTCGTGGAACAATGTGTGTCTGCTGCATTCCTTACAGTAAATACACACAAGCGCGCTAACGCACGCATTCCTGACCTACATTCACTATACACAAAACAACAGGGTGTCAGGAGAGGCAGACCTGCATGTGTGCATGCGTGTGTGTGTGTGTGTGTGTGTGTGTGTGTGTGTGTGTTGGGGTTGAAAATCTGCAGGTGCACTGGGCCGTGAATCTAATGCAAAATTAGTGTTACCTTCCTGCCGAATAATTCATGAGCCCCGCATCCAAAAGACTGCGGAATGACTCAACTTGTCATCCCCTCTGTCTTTGTCACACTCCCCGATGAACCATGTTTTATTTAAAACCAAACATGGAGCAGAATCTGGTAAATAAGCGCGGCTGCAATTGGCAATTGTCTGATTTGATCCTAGATTGCTTTTTGGGCCAGAGTTTAGCATTGAGATTGAAAAAAAAAATGAAATACTGGCTTGAGTATTAATTTGCTCATATAAAAACTCAAGTTTCTGTCTTTTCACAAACACAAAGAAAGCATAAAGTCTGCAGTGTTGAGATTGCAACAGACAATGCCCTGCAAAAGTATGACTGTAACTTTATTATTTATTGGACTTTCATTGGTTTGAGCCTCAAAACATGCAGCCTCCATCAGCTTTTCTTCCAGAACCGCTCTATGTTCAGCTCCAGCCATCTTCACCGTCCCTGCTGAGCAAATCGTGTCCACATAGCACCACGCTGCCACCACCGAACCTCAACCCTTAATTCATCTGATGAAGAGGGAGCCTTCGTCCACATGCGAGAAATTGCAAGCAGCACATCCTACGGCTCGCTTTCGTCAAACGCCGGATTTGTGAAGTGCCTGACTGATAAATTCCCTTTTAAAAGATTCCGTCGAGGTAAAAAAATAAAAGTTGTTGTAAGTTTCTTCAAAGAGTTGTCATTCCTGTCAACAGAAGCAACCTCCTGTAGCGGTCTGTGTTACATCGTACCTGAGGAAGCCTCTGACTGAAGGTGAAGTTGTGTAGGAGTCTGACAAAGACTGAGAGATGTCCGTAATGTCCTTTCTTTTGCATAATGATCTCCAGAAGTTTCAGAATAGTCTCCAGAACAGAACCATCCTTCGTTATCAAACATAATTTCCTTATATTTTAAGGAATATATCATTTTGAACATAAAACTTTCACTTTCTCAGTAAATAACCCCTAACAACCAGGGTTAGAGAGATTGCAGTCTTTGTTTTTTCCCCCCCTAAAACTTAAATTAATATTTTTCTTCCCTAAATCATAACAAGTTTTACCTCCAATAAAGGCATTAAGAGTAAGAACACAAAACCGTGTCTTTGCTGAGAATTCACCGGCCAGAACTTCAGTCGACTATGTTTACTTTATTATAGGTCAGTGTGTGCACACCCACTAACTATAGCCGGGGCCCCGGCATATAAAACCCTAAATAATATGTCTACATTTAGAGAAATCATCGGGTGTTGCTGTGGAATGCAACACCATTGTGGTGAGGCATTTTCACAAAAGAACAAACAACCACTGGAGAAAGCCATAAAAGGGACGTTTTCCTTGTGCTAATGTGATTCAGTGTCAGGAAAACATGTGTATTTAGGGCACTTTATGGAGTGATTATAAAGTCTATTATGATTTTTTTTTTTTTGCTTTAACACTTGTTTGATCTTCAAATTGTTCAGAATTTGGTATGTGAGAACTCGCATACCTTTATGATTCACAGAGGCCTAAAGAATGAGTTATGCATCTTTACAGTTCAGTAGGCTCACTGATTAAAGTTATTGTTAGACTTTTAGACCCTAAGTAAACTACAGTTTACTCCACGTCATTCAAGCTGTACATAATATGTCTTTACTGGCTGTAACACACCTTATCAATTATGGAATTTTGAAGGAAGTTACTGAATTTAGGGGTGTGTGAAACTAAACACACCATTTTATTTCCATTTTCCAGCAGAAAGGGGTCGACGTTTGGAAGATTTCCACTTTTATTCATGATTAAATGTCCTCTGATCCTCATCAGCGGGACAACCGCAGAAGAATGTAGATCGATACGATGCACTTTGTCTTCCTCCTTTTGCATAAACACAGTATATCAACATATTTACTAAAAAGAAAAAAAAATTGTGTATATTTTGTCCTTTTGCATATATTCACATTTTGAAGACAAACTCCTTGTTTATGACCACAAACCTAGAGAGGGGGAAAAAGCTGATTCTGATACAAAATATTGATTTCATGATTATGTTGGGGGTTTACAGAGTGAACATCACTCAGTGCAAGCTAACCTGAACTTTGAGATGTTTGAATTTATGCCTGTACGTCACACAAGCATTACCAAGTTCATAGCGAGAAGACAGCTGATCCTTTTTGACGAATTCTTTAAGATAAGACTAAAGAAGCCTTCCAGATGATAAGTGAAACCCATTTGTGGCTGTTGTGAGGTGGATTACTGAAAATCGAAACAAACGCGAATATAAAAACCTGCGAAGCGTTTCCACGAACGGGAAAATGTGAGTAATTAAACACTAAATCGCTGCTTCCCATTTATTTGTTTCCCAAATGAGAACATTTTGGATCCGAAACGCGTAACGTATGGACCTCGTTTTTGTCCGACGCACTAAATTTGACAACACTGTTGACAGTAAATCCTTCCTTTCCTGATAGTCTAAACACAGGCATGCAAAGATGCGCGCGTACAGTGATTCGAGTGCGACTGCACGCATTCACACTCAAAGCCACATGTCTTAGCCGATCGCATTTCCCAGCGGGGCCGTGTGATTGTAACACAAACAAAACAAAACACAACAAAACAAAATAAATAAATAAAAAAAAGCACACAGAGCGACTTCGGGGCCTTGCAGCTACCTGAGAGTTGGCTTGAAGGTGAGCCTTTTTATTTTCCGCCTGCCTTGCGAGGCACGCGCCGCGCTCCAAAGCCATTTCAGTCGAGCTCCTTTGTTGAACCATAACATTACTCGCCACCGGCCCCCTGCACCTCCTCCAGCAAACCCACTGCCGTTTGGAATAACAGATGAATAAATGGATGAGGGGGAAAAAACAGTAGACTCAAACCACAGTGGAACTCAGCAATGGTCAGCCAGGCCCACCACGCCTCAGCAAATGTTTGTCCAAACCTGTTATTTCTGGCATTGTACTGTCTCAAAGAGATCATTTCATTCTCCATAAGGAATGCAGCGGCTATAAATAGCCTGTAGATGAAGGAGGGGAAATCAGAGATTTGTAGACTAATTACAGAGCTGGAGTTGAACCCTTCTGTTATGGTTCATTTTTCATCAACCTCTGTCTCCATGACTGTCTGACTGACTGACCAACCGAGGCGAATTGGACATTTTCTCAAAGGGACACGAACATCTGAGCTGACCCCTCCGTTTTCTGCGCCGATCAGCGTGCGAGCAGCACTTGGACCTCATGATCCTCGAGAAAGACAAAAGGGCGTAAATGGATGCAATTATCAAACACACCCTTCTCGTTTTGCTCCAACACATTCACTGTGCATTTGGGAAGAAAAGAAAAACTGGAGATGACTGACAAGCAGAGGTGGGGCCCAAATTAGTCGGACGGGGGCGGCAGTGGTGGGAAATGCTACTGTAAAGCTGGAAAATGCTCCAAACTCAATAAAAGAAGAAACAAAGACATAAAACGTGCAGGTTTATTGGAAGGAATGTGTTCCTTCTGTTTGTGGTTAATTAATGACTGTTGCTACTCAGTAAAATAATGTAATTTCCTTTCAGATGAAGACACGTTGATGTCTTTGTATAGTCACTTTGTTGTGGCTGAGGGAGGAGAAGGGAAAGGTGGAGGCCTCAGAAATCACTGACAAGTTTATCACATCCAGGATGATTATTTCAAGATCAGAAAACATTTTTAAACTATTGCTTTTATAAAATACAACTATAATCATTACCAGGTCTTTTCTAAAGGACAGAGGGTCAGATATTTATTGGAAAACACAAGGAAACAAAGAAGTTTAAATTATTGTGGAAATGCCACCCCCGTGTGGGAATAATGAAGAACTGCATTACGTTTGAAAACATGCAGTTTAATTAGTCATTTTATTTTTATTTTTATTTTTTTTTCAGAATTGTGGCATTATCTTTATTTTTAGCTGTTTAGGCTACTTACATTTCCACCCTATCATCTGGAATAAAATGTGATGACGTTATGCATATCCTGTTTATAGGTATCTTAGACTCTGAGTCAGGCTGGTAGAGCGCCAAATTATCTGAAAAATAAGCCCTAAATGTTCGGCTAAGCTGGAGTTCAACTGTAACTTTTGCAATATAGTCTTAATAATGACTCTTAGGAAACTTTTCTCTTAAGGTTAGTTAGTTTGTGTTGAAAACTGAAAGGAAATATTCTACAAATGTTCCCTGGTGGTACCTTATACATTTTACTATACACTTTAGTAAACCAACTTCATGGAAGGTTCCTTCGAGGTTCTTTAAATATTATCTAGAACATTGACGAGAACCTCTTGAACTTTCTTTGGACTTGCTCTTATTGTTAGTTTCAACACGGAGACTTTGCAGTTTTGTGTTTTCAGGAAACGTTAACAACGACTTGGCCAATGATAATAATAAAGTTTCGTCTCCTTGGTTACCTTAAAGTTCCATGATCACTGTCCGACTGAGGTTTGCTCGGGGGTCTCCGGCTGACTCACACCGTTGGAGGTGACCAAAGAAGCAGAGCTGCAGAACTTTTGCGGGCCATGTTTAAACTCGGATTATAGTCCGAATACATCTTTAAGAGGCAAAAATTATTCGGATGAATGTGGCTATGGAGGTGGAGAATCAAAACACGGTGAGTTAAACTGTCTTTACGACGTTGCTAGTCGTTCAGCTAGCCGGCGATGCTAACAGTTCTAACGTTTTTGACGTTGAATATTTTCAATAGGGACTTTCTTCTGTTTTAACTTTGCTGTCAGTACGGTATCGCCATAACATTAGAGTACAAGACATAGTTGGATACATTTTTCACCAAATTAAATAAATTGTAGGCTTTTGAAGTACGGTCTCTTGACCAAGCTCGGGTGCGACTGTGCAAATTAAACAGAGGAAATGGAAAATATATTATAAAGATAATGAATTTATGCTTAAGAACGGCCATGTTCGCAGCTAGCAAAATGTAAAATGTATTTTTGTGGTAAAATTGAAGTGAAAAATGGTTCGTAATCTAGTTTGTGTGAAGTTAGTATCTGATTCGTAGCTTTCAAATGCCGAAAAGGGCTATTTCACAGTTTTTACGGGCTCCGCACTGTGGCCTTTTGTTGAACTTTCATCAAATAGAGTAATATCCTTGAAACTAGAAAATTCCTGAAGAAATTTCGCCGGGGCCTGCCAAAGTGTGCCTGTTGGTTTGGACCCAGCGTTCTGATGCTAAAAATAAGCATCAATGCTAAGCTTTGCTAAATTGTAGTCAATAACCTGTGGAAAGGCATAAGCATGTTGACTAAGCTGTACTTGTACCATTCATTATGTTAAAATCAATGCATAAGCTAAAATTAGCCAAAATGCTAATGTTAGTGTGAAGGGTATCAGTAGCATGTGGAGCATCACTAGCATGTTGTCTGTCATTGACTTACTCCATTCAGTATACTAAACATGGCAAATAAGTAAGAAAATTAACAAATAGGTTATTTTACGTAAAAGGCTAATGCTAATGCACTAGTCAAGGACAGTGAAATGCTAATATTTGTGCTAATGTTAATGAACTTCCTTGCTATGCAAGGCAGTTCACTATCCTGAGGAAAACAAACATAAAAAAGGCTAATAATATTGCAGCCCCTATGGCGGTGCACTAACGTGGGAGGAATATTCCAGTAAGCTTCATTTTAAATGACCACACTAATTCAATGTGAAATAGTAGTTTGGTTAAAACAGTCATGTAAATCCCAAAAGACCAATTGCTTGATGTAAAAATGGTCAAGGCTTTTATTTTGAAATTTTTATTAAGCTTTATTTT